GTGTGTGTGTGTGTGTGGACAGAGGGGTGCTCAGTCGGTGCTCTAAGCTGTATACGGACATATAGTGGAGCTCTGTGCCCTCCCACAACCACAACAGAAGAAATTCTTCATTGCTACAGAAGTGCGTAGGATTAAGAGGACTGGGTACTGAAAGATGAAGACAGGTGAAAGTGGAGGCTTCAGCAAATGAAGGAAGACACAGACACACACATACAGCACCCATTATGAATGCAATGCCGTTAAGTCACACAAGGCTTGTAAAAGCAGGTTATGTCACGCTATTCTGAGCATGTTTATCAGTTGGGTGATCACATGGATCTGTAGGTTCAACATAATCCAATTACATTCCAAATATAGATAGATAGATAGATAGATAGATAGATAGATAGATAGATAGATAGATAGATAGATGATTGACAGGTGTTCCAGTACCACTGAGGTCAACGTTATAGTGCTCTAAGCACTTTCCTCTCACCTTGAATGGAGTTACTGTATGAGCGGTGGGAGGGCATGCTCCTTTTTATGAACACTGTATCCACACTGTGGATTTATTTCAGCTGCACCTGGTCTTTAACAACTTATAACAGGTCATTGCGCTCTAGGCTGTGAACACCCGGCAGTGCAGGTGCATAGCCAATGGCTGTGCTCAACACATGCATGTGAAATATTAAATTGAGCCATTTTCCCTCTTCTTTAACATTTACAGATGCATGTGTAATGATGTTAGAGAATAATAAAGAAGAGTTCTCACCTACTGAACAGGTGAACTTAATGAGAGTTTGGCGAGGCTTCCTTTGTCAAAATACACAGCTCCCAACTGACAATGAGCAGAAACACACCTTCTGTGTTTGTATGTATAAGTATGTTCCTAATGAGTCCACTTCCAAAAGAATTTCAGTATAAATTATAATTTGGTAGAGAAGATATGGGCACCCATGTGGGTGTGTTGAGAAGATAAGAACAGAACCTTTGGCCAAAGCAGACAGTGCTGAATGCATTGTCACGTCACGAATGTATAACATAAATACAAACCTCCATAGGTCAAGCATACTTATATTTTTTGCTGACAAAGGGGTTTTTATATTGACGTTGTCCACATACCTGCGGAATCAGGAGATGCGCACATATTATCCAAATCACTGGACATCCACTGGAGCACAGCTTCCAAAACATAATCCAAGATATCCAACTGTGCAAAATAAAAAAAATAAAAAATCCACAAAATACAGATTTCATTTCCGAAATCAGCATATAACATTAACCATCTATGAAAATGTCAGCACTTGACCACGCTTGTATCCCAAATATCCCAAGAGACTTGTCCAGCAGCTGAATCTGTGGCAGGAGTAGAAACTCATCCCAGACTGAAGTCAGCATTTCCTTATAACACGCGAAAAGATCCATAGCTGGAGTTTTCAATCCATCAGCTGCTACCATCGTGATCACGTTTAAACAAAAACACAAAACAATAATAATAATAACTTCTCCACGTTTGTCAATGTCGCGATTAATCCCGTTAATGCGTCCAAAGAGCCCCAGCATTAAACGATTTACGCCCAGGCAAATCCAGCAAAGCAATCAGAACGATTATTTCCGAAGATGCTGATTCCTCCTTAGGGTCCAGCGCAATGATGGTCTCTGCGGCAGCTGCAGCCAGAGTCTCTGCTGACACGACGCGCTCTCGTCAAGAGCCGCAGCTTCACTGAGCCATAGTTTGTGCGGAGCGCCTCAGCACATGCTGCTTTCACCAAACGTAGTTGCGCAATGCATGACGGTAAGTGGAGTTAACTGGAATAGGAAAACAGCAGCAGGTTTAAACCTTAAAAGCAGTTTTTAAAGACAAAAAAAGTAAGAAAGAAAACACGGAACGCAATGAAACGATTTCACAGGTTAACCTTAAAATAATGAAAGTAAAGCAAAGGTGAAATAACTTTTAAACTTTTAAAAGTTTTAAAATAACTTTTAAAACAGTTACAGGCATTAGAAATTAGATCATATTATTATTATTATTATTAGCAGTAGTAGTATTAGTATTATTATTCTCTAAATATCAGTAAAGCTGTCATGGATATCAGCTGTTACAATCTCTGTTGCAATCGTTCATCACCTGTCAGTTTCATTCCAGGTTGCGTGTGAGCAGTGTGTGTGAGTAATAATGATCATCTGTAGCTGTGCAGAGATACAGAGATGTCGGTGCCTTGAATCACCTTCCCATGAATGAATCTCTTGTCTTTCTTACCTCACTTTCATGTCCTAACCACCTCCAGGCTTGCTTGTATTGCCGGGATCACGCTCTCAAACTTCAAAACGAGGCCTGGATTCACGGGAATGGAGCACAGATCAAAATCAGAACAGAACCCACTTAGTTACAAGAAGCTGAAGCTAAGTAAAGCTGGACATTTCTTCTCACTCACTGTGGACTGTGGAGTCAAAGCTTGCATGCATGTTTGCTGTGATTTGTGATTTTGTTGTGTTTTTTACTTCATCATATTTAAGAAGTACTCTGATGAAGCGTTTATGACTAAAACACAGCAGAGAGGATATAAGTGACACAAAGCTGGGATTAAGGGAGTAAAGCTGATAAACTCTGACGCAAACCAAAGGGGAAAAAAACATGAATAAATAAAAAAGTATATTCACGTAGAAGTTATATCAGTCTATTATACTTTCCTTCCCTATACATTACTCCTATTCACACAGGGCCTGGCACCGTTCCATTCCACTTTTTACTTTGTTCTTTTGGCTGCGATCCAGTCCAGTCCAGGAGTACCTGAATTGCACGCGATTCTGTCAATTGCAGGTACTTGATGGCTTTCTTGTGTGCAGGGGTTGAAAAGTTGCTGGAGGTTTGCGCACACAGCATTGCGTGACTAGCGCTGGGGACGAAAACACAAAGACATTGTTTTCAGTGATCAAACCCCCTTTATAGTAACTCAACAGCATTCCTGTCTCACATTCCTAAGCCACCGCTGCAGTGTGAAGGTTTTTTTTTCTTTCCTTTAAAAAAAGGAAGAAAGGAAAAAAGAAAGAAAAGGAGGGTTGCACTTTTTTAATCTGGTTCACTGTGTCGACCTCGCTTCTTCCACAAGTTCTCTCGTAGCTCATTAATCATTAATCAAGACTGAATTAAAGTATTAGTTGAGGCAATTATCTGCCATGGGGTAATTAAGAGGTGTTTATCCCTTATCCAAAACAATGTGATGAATGTAAACACAGTGTGCCAGCTTTCATGTTAAGCCAACAGCCAGCTGAACAGCAGTATTAAATCAAATGAAAATGCATTGCTTCTCAGTGTATCCCCTAAAGCATGCGCGGGTGGGATTTCCAGGTTGTTTGTGCAACTGCCTGCAAATGTGTTTATGCTCACTTGTGTGCATCCTCCTACACCGTGTCTCCACTCATGCCAGCATGCGTCTGTAGGTATGTGCTAATGTGCACACAAATGTTTTCCAGATTGGTGTGACAAGGATAATCATATCCAGGGAGCACAAACCCATGCTGAATGCGTCTCACACAGATGGGAGGAAAAAGGAGGAATGCATTAAAAAAAAATCCCGAGGAAACGAGACTGAGTGTACACCCACAGACAGTCGTGCAAGTGTAAAACTTATGATATGTGGAAATCTACTGGCAAAGGAGCCAAGCGGGGCCGCCATCACCTGGAGTGGGTGAAACAAATCTAATATTTACTGAAAGCGATGACCCTCATGACCTTCTGCTTTCAACGTAGAAAACATAGAGACGAGGACAATTGAGTCAGTCATATCTCCAGTGTGTGCTCTGAGAGTGATTAAGACTAGAGCACATTCATTACTGGCCCAGCTCAGACAGAGAGGGGCTTCAGAGCAGAGCCCTTGTGTTGGACTGTTTGGATGTCCTATCCCCTTGTATCTCTTTGACTACATCCAACACAAGGCTCTATTCAACCAGACTGGGAACAAATGTTTCCTTATGTGACCCTGAGTACCTAAGCTTCAGCAGGATATAGAGAAGAGCCTATGAGACTAAAAGAGAGACATTACTGAAGGCCATACCTCTGCTCTTATAGAGGGACATAAGCTGGATCACAGGTGGGGACAGGGGGAAGGATGGTAATGACCTCACAGAAATAACAGGGTGGATGACACAATGACACATATTTCCCAATAACTATATGCTGTTTCTCTGGTATGGCCCCAACCACAAAATTTCTAGTCTGCTTAGGTTTCCGTTCTTTATTTTCTCACTTTCCCACTTCTCATGAGTGTTATTACTTCTACATCCGCCTGGGAATTAATTGGGTAAATATCAGCCAGGAAACATGAGGTTAGATTCCATGTTGGCAGCTCATGTAATTTCACATACAGCCAACATGCAGATTTCCGCCTGTTTTTTTGGCACGCCTGTGGGAATGGGCAAAGTGTAGCAAAACAGAGGTCAAGGCAAGGTTTCTCACTGAAGTGGGTGAAAATTTCTCATGTGAAACTAAAAATGGCTTTCACCAGTTTTACATAATGAGACACAATGTGGCGTGTACCTCTTTTCTATAGAATCACCCAGGATAAAGAGCTAATCCTCTTGTGCTATGAGACTGATAGAGCTGGATTCCTTCCAGCACCTTAGGGAGTCAGATCTATGGAAGAGAGAGCCTTTCAAAGAAAACCATGTAATCAATGGCACAATCCCCCTCAAACCCTCTCATTCGATCGATGCTAACCGTAAAGATTTTGGTAAATCAGTTCGCTCAAGCCTTTCCCATCTCATCCTGCATTAAGATGTCAAACTGTAACTGGAGTTCCAGTGTTTACCCAACCAAGTTTTCTCACTTGAGGAGAAATTAAATAAACTTTTGGCCTGGACTAGGCTTACAGAACCACTGACATGTAGCCTGTATGACTCATTCACTCTTTCACTGGGCACAGGCGGAATTTATTCGGAGAAACACACCCTTGCTGGCGTGTAGCATAGTTTGACCATTGCAGGTGTCTTGGTTTATTGGGTTTCTATGTCAAAGAGCAAACCTTAGTCTATAAAAACCTAAATTTAGAGCTCTAATTATGAATACACTAAGCACCAAGGGGCATGCAGCTGCATACTTGTGCATGCATTTCAAGGAGCATGAGTTCTGGCTTGGTGACTCTACAAAGAGCCCTCATGAAGTTTAAAATTTTAAACAGGGAAAAATGAAGGTGAGGCTGAAATTGTTCAAATAGGGGAAATACTATGAGTAAGTTTACACCTCTAGTTGGAGAATAAGCATATGAAGCCTTTTTTTTTTATTTTTCCTCTGGATGCTTTTCTAAATGTCTGTGTGTGGGGAGGGGTCAGGGGGGTAGATTTTGGTGGCAAGCAGTTTGTAGGCAGCTGGGAGTGTGGCAGGGCTATGCGTGACTAGGAGAAATACACCTGTCTCTGTGCTCAGGTATGGAGGGGGAGTCGGCAAGCAGGGGCCTGCCAGGTGAACAATGCTCCCTATTGTACCGTGCGCTCTGACTGCTGATACTCGCAGGAGAGGAAGCCCTGATCCCAGTGTGTGCGTAGCTCGCTTGCCCGTCTCTCCCTCCCTGCTCACACAATCACACGAGATACACAGCCAAATTATTTACAGTACACATATTGCGCTGACCGCAGGCGCCCTGAGCTAAATCCCAACAACTCTGCCTTTTACACGCAAGTTGCCAATCAGAGCAGTGACTGACAGATTTTTTTTATATCCAAAAAGTTGAAATGTTGGATTTTGTAAAAGTTATAATTGTGTTGAGGATATTTTGTATGTGCAGTATTATGAAGGGGAATATACAACACACTATCATAATAATATAAATGGTAAAAAAAGAAAAAAAAACATATCTCAATAGGTGTGAATGTTATTCGTAGAGAGATTATTCAGAGGTGTCACTTTAAGGGTCTATAATTGAGAGCACACAATGTAAATACATGACGTGCTTGTTGATAGTAATCTATTATCAGTTCTACGCCAACCCATGTTTTTCCAGCCTTTTTATTCTCATTGCAGATAAGGCAATTTTGACACGGAGAGTCATGCAGATACTGTAGATTGCAGATTGAGAGAGACCCCCAAAGAAAGTAGAATTGGTGAATTACTGACACTCTCTGTACTTTCAGCAACAAAAGCCGTCTCTCATTTTGTTGTGATTTGTTGGGCAATTATAGAGAAAAAAAATGAACAGGGTAACTATGGGGAGGGTCTGGAATGTGTGGGAATGCTAAACATCTGCTTTGAGAAGTTTTAGTTCTGGGTTGAGCTTGGACAGTCGCAAGTAAATATCTCTGCCAAACAGAAACTCCAGCTGTTCCACAGATGGCAACAGTTATTTTGTCCCATTTGGTGTTAAAAAAAAACATGTTTGCCTTAAAATAATCTAAGTGCCTTTGATCTTCCTTAACCTTTTCCATTGTGTGACAAGGAGAGCTGCAGTGTGAATGCCACCACTTATCTATTCCTGTTAAATTCCTTGACTTGTGTCGGTGTGTGCTTGTGGGCATGTATAACACCAACGCTATCTCATGTGAGTGTGTGTGTGCTCACTGACTAATGAAATACAGTCTTCATAAAGGTAGTATTGTTAAGTTGCGTGCGAAGCTCATGCTTTAGGCTTTGGGTCCCCGCCCACCCCTGTAAACCACGGCCTTTTTTTCCTCTCCTTTTTTGCCTTCTACACCTTCCCCTTTCTCTTTGTTACAGGTAAACATTTGATGTCCGCACGCAATCCCCGGAGAGTCTCCTCCCCTTGTTCTTTCCTCAGCTCCAAGGCTTACTCACACTCTTTTACACACCACACACCTCTCATTCTCGGTCTCTCGCTCATGCACCCTCTGACACGCTACCTTTCCCTCCCCATTCTTCTGAAATTCCTCTCCTCACTGACTCAGCACCTGTTTCCTATAGAGGACATGAAGTTTCTTTCTGTTGCTCGAGAAACTGGTTGAATATCTGATTGACTCTAAACATTCGGTTTCACAAACACTTTACACACACGTTTTCTGTTACTGAACGTTCGTCTCCTTTGTCTGTGTTGCTCCTTCCTGTTTGTTGTATTTGGTTTTTTTTAACCAGCTTGTCCTGCAATATTGTGTTACATTACATGAAGTTTGTCTCTTTTTTATTTCTATGTGCTTGTATTTTTTTTTAACATGTTCAAAATAAAGATTACAATTCAATTCAAAGTTATGGACAAAACCAACAAGACTTATTTCAGTAAATTTGCTTTTTTTAATTCAAGTTAATGTTGCCAGAATCAAAACTAGAATTCCTCCTGGAATCACACTGGCCACAACAAAGTCTCAGATACCGGAGACCGATAAACACGGGGTTGGTGTGTTGAAGTTTCCTTGGGCAAGACACCAAACCCCAAGATCCTCCTAGGTAGTAGTCTAGGCTCTTAGATGGTTCTGCCTGCAGCTTTCAAGAATTTATCTAAGGTTAGATAGTAATATACAAGCACTTAATATTTAATATTTCATTGCCAACTACATGCATGTCACATCCCATGACTGCATCCCTTAGAGTTGCACCATATGCTAAAGCTTGCCAGCCAGGTTACTCAAAACTGCCTTTCTGCTAGTTTCCACGATAGTCGGTGCTCCAAGAACCGCATTTTGTCACAGACTCATAAGATGAAAACATGCCAGCTCTGCTGTCACTTCTGGTAATATCGATACCAACAAAATTACCTTTGGCACACTAGAAAATAATCTGCATTGGAGGGGGTACACCCTGGATATGTTTCCAGCCCATCATAGGGATAAAAGAGAGACAGAAAACCACATCTACTGACAGTTTAGATGAACTTAAAAAGTGCGTACGGTCAGTGAGGGGAAAATGAAAACACAGCCCAGAGCCTGCTTTCTGTGAGGTGGCAACGCTACTGAGCACCACCATCGTGATGTGATCTGACAATCCAAAATATGAGAAAAGGGAAAAAATGGATTTCTCACTGATTTAAATCAGAAAGAAATTATACTGTTTTAACCGCTTTCAACTTGTGCAACCTTCAATTTTCTGTTTCAGGTGTTGTACATGGTTTTGGCACAGCTTTTACTGACATACAAAAATATGTGTGAATAACTTCCAAAATATTTATTGGTGTGTGCGTGAATGATTATGATCTAACACTTAAACTCCTGGGGAAGGTAATAAAACAAGTCGAAATCTGGTCTGCAGACTCAAGCTCTAGTACTACTGCCAACCTCAGTCACGCACTTCCTTTGAGCTGCACTTCACCACAAACTGTGAAGCTATGAAAAGTCCTGTCAGGTTCCGATACAAGAAGATCCATGATTAATGACCGTCATGGCTAAGCAGGGGAAAACCAAAACCTCTGTGCCAATGTTAGCAGCATCGAATAGAGCTGAAATCACTGAAAATGAATGCAAGAGAAAAGGAGAATCGTTTTATCATGTCAAGGACACACACGCATACACACAATGCGAAACCCACACAAACATGCATGCCTGTACACATACTCACATGCTGCGTAGTAACAAACCCAAAAGTGCTTGCAAAGTTCACACATGAGACAACTGCATATACACATCGCTGTTCTCCAGTATGCTTAGATCATATATGAACAAAGATTTAGGATTCTTTCAGATTAATTGATAAATAAATGTAATACATGAGTCCTGCCTCCATCTATCAGTTTTTTTCCCTCCTGATCCAATTCAGAATCGCAGCATTTTACTGCTGTCATAGCAGTAAAAGGTGGGGTGCACCCTGGACCACACAACCAATCACATTGACACCTACGCTCAATTAAGAATGACCAATTAAATAACCCCATGCATGGCTACAGCTTTGGGAGGAAGCAAACATATCCAGAAAGAGCACACAAGAACAGCCGCAGCCAACAGGTGGATTTGATCCCAGGACCTTCATGCTGTGAAGCAACAGCGCTAAACACTGCACCACCTTACTGCCCTGTGAACCCCCTGTCTGCTCTTTTTTGTATTTGGGAAAGTCAGACTGTCAGAGAGGAAAAGACAGTCCCATACAGCCACAATAGAAATTATTTCAATCCCTTCATTGTTGTCTCCTGTGATCACTGTGCCTGCTGCTCTCTTTCATCAGGGGCTTTTGGCTCCCTCCAACCAGCCCAATTAGTAGCCCTGCAGAGGTGAAGTGTATTATGCAAATACAAACAGTTACTGTACCAGCTTGAGCAGCCCCCACGGGAAGCGTACAACAAGGCTATGTTAAATGAATATTAGATTTGTTGTGCCTACAACAAGTTACCTATTGTTGTTCTGGCCTTTCTGCTGCTCTGGAAAAGCCATTCAAACAAGATAATCTGTCTGCATCTCGTCAATGCAGCTCACTGTTTCACTGTGCTTGGACGAAACAGTGACACAAAGGGGCTGTTTGATAGGGGATATGAAGCAATTGGTGCAGGGGACTAAATAGATATTTCTTACAGCCACAGCTGCTTGTCACTGGACCACTGAATACGGCACAAACACTCTAAATGAAAATATCAGAAATTCTCAATTTCCCACACATTTTTACAATCCACCACCTTTCCTGTAACTTAAACTGTGTAATATTTTTTGCCATCTGAGTCCATTGTTTCATATTGAGTTCATTTCTGTCTCTCTCTCTCTCTGCTTTCATTGCGAACAATTGCTTTTGTCCCCGTCCTGGATAGGTGTGATGGTTGGGTCAGAGCTCTGAAAGGGCTGTATTGTCCTTCTTCACACCCCAAGGTGTGCTTGGAGGGAGACCAACAAAGTGGTAACTAAACAGTGAAACAAGTTTTCTCTGTAAATTTGTACCACATGGCTCCTCAAGGAACCATTGTTCCCTTTCATTACCCGCATCATGTGGGAAATATTTCAGTATGTATCCATAAAATTAGCCAATAATACAAACTGTGCATTTTTGAGAAGTTAGAAGGCTAATGTAATTTTGACAGAAAGTCACGCAAATGAAAGCTGCTATCAAAGTTCTCTCTTTTTTTGTTAAATTTGGTGAGTGCTGCACTTTTTCCACACTGTAATGTTTTATTAATAGAGAAAGCTGTCACAAAGGCAAAATTCAGGGTGTTCTGTTGCTGTCTTGTTTGTCTGTGTCACTTTCTCTCTGGTCACATCAGGCAGCTGTTTGCAAACAGTCTTCCCCACAAGCCAGTCATCTAATAACAGGGTTGAGTTGGACGATAATGACTGCTGTCTGGCACGCTCCAGCAGAAGAAAAGAAGCACATTGGCAAAGCACCTCTGAATACAAAAAAATAATCAACAATAAAAAGCAAAAAGTGTGTTGTGATTGTCATCACTGGTGCATATTTTCAGAAAAAAAAAAAACTAAAAAGAGCTGATTTCCAACTACCAAAAATTAGAAAGCCATATTTCATTTTTGTTATGACATAATCACCACTTTCTTATACTATATTTCGCATTACTGATTTAAAAGGAACATGGCCTCTTGCTCTGAATCGTAAATATATCTTAACAACCACTTCAAAATAAAAGTAAACATTTACTATGATTTACTGTATCAGTATAATTAGCTTTAGCTCTTATTTTGTCACCCTTGTCCCCTTTTGGTTCCCGCAAACTGAATGACCTCAGAACATTTTGTGTTTTCTTTCCCGACTGGTTCTTTTGAATCCTGTGTACACCATGCCACGGAGGCTCAGCGTATGGAGTCACTTTAGCATGCGCCTTTGATGTGTGAGAATGGTATGCCGAGGTCCAATTTCACTTGCTGACGCTGACTCACACAACTGTAAGCTAGCGTGACAGCAGAGGCAGGTTAATGTGTTCTCCCTGCAGGCAAATACAGGGAAATATGAGTGACTGACTGTTGCCTTTAGCCAGAAGAGATGAAACACAGAGAGAAGGAAGTTCTGTTTGAACAATTTGAAGGTTTTCATTTGCAAGCCCACCTTTCAAGAAATAATTACATAGGGTTTGTGTTATCTTTGCATTTAAGAAGTCAAGTAGCAATAATTTGTGTGATATATCACGCTTACTGTATACGACTCAGTGCACACATGAGGATCATCACAATCCACGAGTGAAAGCATACTCTCCCTCCCCCTGGGTAGATACAGTGTCCCATGATCTCTGTTTAAACCATTATGTGCCTCTAACACGTATGCCCCTTAAATCTATATTCAAAATCCCAACAGAGAAAGAGTCCACGGCAGCTTTTAACGTGCTTGAAATTGATTTTATGCTGTAGTCGTTCTTGAAATAAGTGTATTTCAGCACATTCAAAGTCCAGAGAGAGTTTAAAAAGAATGAATTAATCTGCCGATGCATGTCAAATTTAAATACAACAAAAGAACAAAGCGACACTTCTGACTCATAAGATAACAGACCCTGTCTACATCAACCTTAGCGGTGTTGTGCATCTGCATATAAAATGAATGCGTCTTTGTTTTTATGAACTCTAAACTTATAAAATCCTGTCTTTCAGATGGCTATCAAAGTGTTAGAGAAAAAGACACTTTAAGAGAAACATAATACCAGGGCCAAAGCACAACTAAACCATATCTGTGGCAGCATTGTATATATTTCCCACAATCTGAAATACACCCTCAGCACTTAACTGCGCAACCATATTGCGAGATAATGTGGGTTTGAGGGGAAAACAGATCTAAGGGCAAAGAGAAGTGGGCAAGTTAAGTAGTATGTTGTGGTGGGTTGTAAAGGTTGGATGATATATTCTAAGAAGTAAAGTATGTGTGTGTTTTGGTGTGTGTGTGTGGTTTATAGGGGCTGAATGGGGCACTACTTTTGAAAGACGAGATACTGCAACACATCCACTGTTGGTGGCCCCTTTTCTTAAATGCGGAGGTCACAGTATCATCACTCACAATAATTTAGGAATCAGTGGGTGTAGGTTTAGAGGTTTGGGTTGTAATAAATTAATAAAGAAAGGGATGATGTATACATAAGCGAGAGTAAGCCACTGATATACAATATATATTAGACACACACACACAGAACAAACATTAGGTGTCTCACCTCTTTCTACTAGCTGGCATTTATAGTGCTTACAATGGACTATAAACCTCACAGTAGCTCTTTATGATGGTGAAGGATCTGCATTTTTATTAGGGGCAAACGTTGAAATTACAACTCATTCTTCTCCCAAGCATTGCAATGCACAATTACCACCTGTGACACAAAGTCCAGAGTCTGCTGCCAACACACTGAGGATGACGTCAAGGATTGGTTTACCTACTGAACCCCAGTCAGCCAGGTGAACTCTGGCTCACCTCCCAGACTGGTCATCACTGGCTGAAAAATACAGAACACAAATAAGGCATACTCATTTTAATCGTAAATATAAATGCAAACAACCGAATATGCAGGAATCAAGCGTTGAACACGAGATGTTGAATAAAGCTTAATTATTATTGTAGGACTATGCTGGGAATGAATTGCATTTTTGCATCGAGTGTTCCTTCCTGTAAACCTGTTATTATGTTATATAGGTGTGCGGAGTTTGATAACATCACACTGAAATGTCAACAGAAGTTGACTCATGTTCTTGGAGTAGCTATAATTATTTTCCCTTCCTGGCTGAAGGTAAATTATGATTACAAGTACAGATGAGTGAAGCAAAAAAAGGACATAGATCGAAGTGCATCAGTGGACAAAGTCTGCTGAAATATTTGACTGAGAAATGCGTAGATCAAAATTATACTGATCACAATGGACATGGATTAAAAGAATCATGAGTGACTGTGACAAAAAGGTATGCACCTCATACGTGGCAACCTGCATGTGTACACAGAAATATTGTTAAGCTCGGTGTGAACATTAAGGGCACTTACAGCTGCTGTGTGGAGAAGTGCTGCCCCGAGGGCCGCGGCAGCATGAGTGTGAGCTTCGTGGTGCTCTGGAAACAAGAAAAGCGGCTCTGTTTTTGGATCGCTGTCTTGGCTTTGTATGAACGCTTCCTGGCACACAGTCAAGTTTCTGCCCCTAGTGAGGGAAGATTAATGACAGCAAGTCACGGAAAGGCAGAGAGCACAGGAAAACAAAGGAAAGCAATAGGGTGAGAGGGGAAAGACAGGAGGGATGGGGGGTAAAACAAAAGGTAACGGCTGTTATGTTGTTGATGGCAGCAGGTATGAGTAAAAGGTGTGTGACTCTGTGAGTGTTTGTGCCTGGGTGTGCATCAGTAAGAGTACAACACTAACAGAGATTTAGCAGATTAGTGGAATCCTCATAAACATTCCTGACAGTTGTACAAACACGATGAATATAATCACTGGACAAAAGGCCAAGCCCTCTTTAAATTTCATCTCTGTAAATCCAGCTAATGTCCACATACTCTTGTTATCTCCCAAAACCTTAGCCTACTCCTCCAGCTGTGGTCAATCTCCATATTCTCACAACACCTTCAAATCTGACGGAGGGTAAAGTAGTAAAGTAGTTGAAATGTCAAACTTGGATCAAGAGATCAAGCTCCGCAAGTGGGAAAGCACAGACTTGGAAGTGAAGTAAGGAGAAAAAAACAGAAAGGCATCAAGAGTTCTTCTTTTAGGTAACATGGATCATGACTAATCTGTGATGAAAGAGCCAAGAGCTGAGTAGAGCATGACGCTGCCAGGGCTGACCCCTCTCCCAGCCCCAAACCCCCAACCAAAGTATTAGGCTCCAGGACAAGCATAGGTCATAGTGAACTCACTCTCCTCATTTCCCCTTTCTTTTCTTGACCACAAAAACAATGACATCACAGACCTCGGAGTCTCTGACAAACCTAAGTCTTTGTATCAGATGAAAAATGATCCTGAGAAAGAATATTCATCAAACTAAAGGGGAAAAGAGCGTGTGAGTCTGGGTTTTTTTTTTTCAAAACAGTTCACTTCATTCTCGAGCTATGCTGGGTTTTCCCTATGACAGTGAAGAGCAAACTGTTCCGTTTCATAGTGCCAGGACATACGAACAATGTGAATGAAGGGAAACTGTAAAAGCCTTTAAATCCAAAGAGCATCTTCATACGACTGTTTTATCTGTACAGAGGTCACTTATTCTCGATGCCATTCTATTAAAAGCAAAAGTAAACAACAGGTAACCGTTGTTAGACGGCATGTGTAATGGGCTCAGCACTGATGCAGACTGAATCGTGACTCAGAGCAGCAACAGGTGACAAATGGTCAGTTCTCTTGTCACAGTCGATCTTTTAGGGCTTTGCCAAACTTAAGTGAACCTGGAGCGGTGCTGCTATTGCTGTAAAAGTGCAGTTGAACAGATTTTGAAAACAAAGAACCCCATGCTTCTCTTGCCGAGCTCCACTAGCGCACCTGGAGGAAATTAATTTAGCTAAGCAAAACAGTCAAAGCCCAGTGATACCTTTCAACACGTTTTTTTTTTTCTAATGGAATATTCACACTTGCGATATATTTTAATATAGTGTTTCTAGAATTGAAACTTAACAGTTAAGTAATTTGCAGATGACAGCAATGTATCTGTCTGCATACACATTCCCATTTGGTCCACAATACTTGAATTCTTTTGAGCCAAGTCATGCCCATACTTCCTATCCCATGGACATGGTGTTTTACCCAAACACCTGCCACCCATTCTGCTGACTTTATCTGGGAGAGAGCAGAGTAGGTGGCGGGGAGTGAAGGAAGAAGGGAGGGGTGCTATTGTTGGCACACTCCTATGGTTCTGTAGGATGGAGAATGTGCAGAGGTGGAGAAGGGGATTAAACAGAGCAATATTATTCTTTCACAGACCTGCTTTGAATCAGAACTCAACACCACACATAAAGCTGTGAGGACTGGATGAGCTCACTGGGGGGAAAATGCCGCTGTAGTGACCCGGAAAAAAAAAAGGGAAAAAATGTCTAGCAGTAACAGGAAACAGCAAGAAAGAGAGGAAAAAAACTAGCTGATTGAGGAATAAAACATAAGTCAACGTGTTTACCTTTCTTAGATGAAATAATAGCTTTTGGAGGCATTCCAGTTAAGGTTTCTGTGATCAATTTCCAATCCTGATTGCTTTTTTGGGGTGTATTCCTATGTGGAAATAAGGAAATATAATGTCAGGTTTCAATCGTCTTCACATTGTGGCTGAAAGCTTGTTTGATGGTTGGTCAGATACCTTTTTAGCTAGCATGAGCGCAATTCAAGAATATTCTATGTACACAAATTCATAAAAATGCCCTGAAAACATTTCCTCATTCAGCAGGACAGTGATCCTAAATATGAATGAATATTTAGCCAATGCAATTACATAAAATCTTCTTATGAAACATGCTAAATGACCATTTGCAACTTTTGTTATTTTTCAGGCAGCCTTAAAATTACAGCTAAGACCTCATTAGCTATCCTAGATTGTATACTGTCACACAGCATGATGTGCTAAACACACAAGTAACCACACCTGGTGGAAATCACTCTTTAAGTTGAACACTTGTTGACAACTGACTCCATAAATGGCAAAGTGATTATGTTAATGTTGATGATGCAAAAAGACCATTTACAGACTGCTATTTTAATTAAAAGAAATTCATTAACAGAAATACTGCCTTGCCTTTGCCAATGAGTGAAGTTGTCCTAACATTCCATATCCAGACTCATCATGTGTTATGTGGTTATGGGATACTTTTTTTTCTTCACAATAAGTGCATCTATTTTTGAGGTATGACATTTTAGAAAGGGCTGCATTTTAGGTAAAAACGACCTCAACCCCTCAACCCCTAGAATCTCTGAGTACAGGAGGGAGTGGCGATGTGCAGAAGATCAGATATATATGGAGAGACTCCAAAGTAAGAAGGAGAATCTTAAAAATACCACAGACTTTCTGAGTACTGTTCCTCTATGACCACAGTGTACCTATCTTCTGATAACTCTGTCCAGCAGGATAACACAGCATGTCACCAAGCTCAAAATTGTTTCTCCATAAAAACTCTGATGCTGTCATGTCAGTAAGGACCAAAGTCTCTGAGAAATGCACCTTGTTGACTCTCAACCTCAGTTTGTGTCTCCTTTACTGTACAATACCTGGAAGTTATGACATGGTTCCATACTTACAATGTACTTACTGTTTGTTTTTCTGCCAAATTACAAGGAAAGTTTAATGCAGCACTTAAAATTACGTACACTCTAAATTTCTTACAGTATAATTACTTCTGTTTCTTGTAAAAACCTGACTTGCTTTACTTGTTTTAGTTGTTACTGGTCCCTGTACAGCTTTAGTGAGAGCTTGGTTTGCACTGCCAGCAAGAAGTCTGATTGGAGAGATAGTTTTGTGCTTTTCATCGATTTGTTCTTATTATCTATGGACAGAATTAATAAGCACAGCCAAAGTTTCGAGTGTGGTGTTTATGGTCTCAGGATCCCATCTCTGCTGTTTGGAGAGATTTGGTGCCACGGCTTAATTGAGCAATGGCCCATGTTCTCCACGATAATGTGGAGCACATGTTTGATAAAAGTTGCAAGTTATATGAAAGAAAACTTTGTTTAATTTAATAAATTATGCAAATTACTTGTAACAACAGTACTTTCTTTCTTTAGATGACACTAGTTACACAACTAATAAGGCTGTGAGAAGAAATGTGTTTTGCTACTGTTATTATTCTGCTCTTATGACTGCTTCTGAATTATTCTTGGGGAACCCAGGTAAACAGGTAAATACGCTAATAAGATCAGAGTTAAGAATTAAGTCCATTATGAGGGCAAAAAGGGGTCCATCCTGGTATTAGCAAGGTGTATTTAATGAAGTGGCCAGTGAGTGTGTGTTTGCAGCTGTATTTTAGTTAGTCTAATATTGATTGTATAATAAGCACACCTTTATACTTCAAAATCATAGCTTGAGATTAACCAGCCTGCAGACAAAGGTGGGTAGTGAACTTGTTGAGATTTGCTGAAGTGGTTATGGGTGTGAAGCAGGAAGAGAGGCAATAGTTGGTCATGGACTATAGGGTACAGAGAGGGCAGTGTGTAGAGGAGAGAGAATCTAGGATGGACAGGCACAAAGGGACCATTGGTTTGGCTGAGACGCAGCATGAATCCAGTCGGAGTTCCGTGGGAATACTGAGCTCAGTGAGACAGATCTCCCTCTCTCTCTTCTCAATGAGTTTGTGACGGAGAAGAGGAGAAGGAGACATCAAAAAAGATCCTCACAAGCAGCCCTCGCTGACACACTGTGAGCATAATTTCAAACCAACACAAGACATGCAGCCTAGCAACACGTCTAATAAGGAAGTGAAACTAAAAAAGAAAGATTGTTCTGAGGAACTCTGGAATACATTATCTGTAATTATTAACACGCACATTTGATAGACTTCCTGTTCTTGTTGAACAAACAACAGAAATAATTAGAGTTGTGTTTCCTCGTACATCACGTACATCAATACCTGGAAAAGTTTATTTCTGCCAAATCCTAGTTCAAAATACTTCTCATCCCCCACAGCCAAGTCCCCCCCACCATTTGTATCTGTATCATGACCCACGCCAACACATGTAGCAATCCAAAGTACACACCAATTCCCATGAAATAGAATCTGATCCAAAACTACTACAGAAATCCCATTGTTCTCCATCATGCAACACTGAGCCTTCACAATCAGACTCTATTGGGAAACTGCACTCGTGTTGAACGGAGCACCAAAATACACATATGGATACAGATTCTAGATTAGCTCTGGGAAGATGGGCGGGGGCGCTGGACAGCAGAGGAAACATTACAAGAACATGTAAACCAAGAGCTTGACAATTTTTAAGCTTACATATTAATTACAGTATTTTAACTCCTAATTCAATAAGTTGTCACATGATGGCTTAACTGCATTTATTTACATTTTTAGTTTATCTTTCTTCCTCTAAAGCAGGGGTGGGCTGTTGTGGGGGGCTGCACCAGAAACTCAGTTCTGTGCAATTTTAATTGAATCACTTCTTAAGCTTATTGATGAGGCCCTCTACAACAGCCCCATTTTCTCATGTGGCCCCTTGGGAAAATTAATTACACACCCCTGCTCTAAATAGTGATAATCCCTAGTTTCCTCATTAGCAACTCCTCTTACATATCTCTATGTTTCTCAGAGGGATGTGGCCCTTACACACTGTTCCGAGTGTAGTCACATGGTATCAATGGCATTTCTGATGCAACTGCACAGATACTGCCCTACCACCTTTCGCATTTGGACAGGGCAATCACACAAATAACATAGTTTAAATAGAGCTAATACATAACGTCATCAAACGTTTACTACTGTACATAAAGCTTTTATAATCTAGACACAAAGAGGAAGAATGTCAAAATGTCATAATCACAAAGTTGCTGACTGGTCTGGTTATTTTAGACCGATCGGACTCTGATGGTAATCTCAGCCTAGTGTCTTGTCTGAATCAAGAGTCACTGTCCAAACTGAGACTTCGCTCCTTTTATTCTCTAGCAGCCTGCAGCATCTCAGACCCCCTGCAGTGTTCTAATACCCCTGTGACCTGCTGGACTCTGCCTGCCTCCTGCCCCCTGCACTTCCCCACCCTCCCGTGCCCTCCCTGGCACCTTTGCCCCACGACCATGCCTCATTCATCTAGCCACCCCTCTCCGGCCAGGGAAGCTGAAGGCCTTCTTTGTATGTGCTCTCTGGGAGATATTAACCCCCGTCTCTATGCTCCCACCAAACAAAGGAAGCACTTACTAACCGCTAAAGCCTTAACAAACAGTGGCTTTCAAATGAACCCTGCTCCATGCGGTGCAGAAGGAGGGGAGCGCCCAGGAGAGTAAAGCCCGAAACATTTGCTTGTTTTTGGAGATTACAGAAAAACCGGGTGGCGTGGTAGTCGATCTTTTTTGCATCGATGCACTACAAGTTCATGTGGTTAAGACGGAAACAGGAGTGGAAGTAGTCCACATATACATATATATATATGCCAAGAGAGAAAGTCACAGACATTCCAGCGACAAAGAGTCCAAAATATTTTTTCATAATTTTTTATCTACTTCCTCGCGTTTTTTCAAAGATTTGATATTTCAAATAGAAACCTTTCACATATATACATATCAGTGAGGTGTTTTCATCTCACGAGTCTCTTTCAGTTTTAGAATGTGTCATCATCGCACAATGCAATCCTTGTTTTACATGCCTATCTGTCATAGTTGTTGTCAAACTGATTGTGTGGATAAATATTATAGTCAGGTCGATTTTGAAAAAGAATGTAGTCTAATACATCTGCTGTGATTAAAAGACTAGAAGTAGAAATGGGCAAAAGTCTTACTTGCAACTGAACTGTGGATGAGACACATTTGCAAGCACAAGGCCTTTACAACTGTGGGCCTACCATAGCATTAGATGTCATAGAAATCTGGTGCATTGTGAAGTGTAATATAAAAACAAGTTAAAAACTGTATGATGCAGTTAACATTAACTAAGGCTACTATATAACTGGATTTGCTACTGGAGCATAAACTAAAGTAGCTGCAGGGATACCTAACTCATCTAATTAGAAGTTAGCAATTATACTACGCTAGCTAAGGTTACTTTAGTCTCTTTCATTATGTTTAAATAGCAAAATGTCAAAGTGTGCTTGTCACAGGGAAAGCATTATGCTTGAGTGACATCAAGTAGAACAAACAGATTTTCATTTACAATGGTGACAAAGACAAAAGATCACTTGCTCTCAAGTTACTTCACAATGCGGGTGCTAGCATGTTTTGTTTGGGAGACGGAAATTGTTACGCCTTAGAAGGATATGACATGGTGCATTGCATGAGAAAACATACTACAATGGAAAAAACCAAGTAAGCCCTTCCTATTGTATGTAAACAAGTACGCCTGATAGCTTTTGTTGGCTTTGTTGATCAGGACCTATCGAGCCAGTAAAAACAGAGTCATGTGTTACTTAAATTTGTTTTGTACGTTTCTGGGAAAGAATGGAATATCTTTGAGTTACACATTACAATCAAAAATGCCTCACAGGTCTGAAATGAATGTGCCAATGTCCATTTATCGCCTAACAAATGCGCATGTAATATCATAACTGCCACCATTACATTTCATTATATG